CACACGTTACAATCGAGCCTACAAATTTAAGTCTACTCTTCATAATGTGAAGCGGATGAAAAAATTTGACTTCAATATGGAATGGGTTGATGTTGATGATGATGACGATAATAATATAGAGCTGTAAGAATGCATTGTATTGTATTTTAAGAATAAGATGTTCAACAAAATTGTTTTGTAAATCATGTATATTTTTTATTTTATATAAACTGATTTTAAAAATAAAACAAGAAATGTTTAACAATTATTTCCCTATCACTCCACATCCTACATTATTATGCAACGCGCTCGCTAACACAAAAAAATTTTTGCATGCATATAACTACCACGTGCACAAGCTGCACACGATTTCGCACATTCAAACAGCGCTCACAAACCAGCGCTGCAGACGACTTATGCACATTCCATCGCACGCAAACTGAAACTGCGTTGCACGAAATAAATGAGTAACATACAATTAAAAATTATAAAAAACGTCATTTTTGAGACTTAAGGAATTTTTTACTCAAAAACTTTGCATCGTAAAAAAATCATGAAAATGTGTTTTGCTCAAAATTGGTCAAAGAAAACGGCGGCCTCATACAATTTTTCTTGCAATGCTTTCCACGTCAGATTAGAGTATTCTCACCATTTTTCTTTGAAATACTCTTTTACTGATTTTGAAAAATACTGTAAGAGTGTATTAATTCTGGATTTTTTTGAAAAGTTGCAATTATTTTTTTTCTTTCTGTTGAAGAAGAAATTAGTTTTATCCGATACAGAAAAAGAACGGGCGAAAACAATAAATGGTTTGTACTTAGCGTTCTGTTGCGCTGAGTATAAAGTATTTCCTTTTGCTCCTGGTACAGTTTTATAATAATACAAATTAATATCGGAAGGGATTAAAGCGAGTAGATAAGCTATGGCGATTTCGGCTCACTCTTACTCCACGGCGAGCGGCCCCTCTTTTTAGGTGGAATAGTCCCTCCTGCAGCCAATGCGCGAGCAGGAGCTGTCACTTCCTCACACTCATTGTGCGTGCGCTACTTGAGGTTGCGTGCACCACCTGCACCGCTGCTGAAGTTTGCGGGCACTGTTTGAGTTATGCGCAATGTGCATTAGTACCTGTAGCGCCGCGTGCGCCAGCTGGTGACCTGCAACATACTCAGCGCAAGAGAACGCGAAGTAAAAATCTTTTGTTTTGTTCGCCTATTCTTTTTCTTTATCGGATATAACTAATTCCTTATTCAATAGAAAGAAAAAAAGTAATTGCAACTTTTCAAAAAAATCGTGAATAAATACACTCTTAGCGCAGCAATTAGTTTTTCTGTATCGGATAAAACTAATTCCTTCTTCAACAGAAAGAAAAAAAGTAGTTGCAACTTTTCAAAAAAATCCAGAATTAATACACTCTTACAGTATTTTTCAAAATCAGTAAAAGAGTATTTCAAAGAAAAATGGTGAGAATACTCTAATCTGACGTGGAAAGCATTGCACGAAAAATTGTATGAGGGGCCGTTTTCTTTGAACAATTTTGAGCAAAAAACATTTTCATGATTTTTTTACGATGCAAAGTTTTTGAGTAAAAAATTCCTTAAGTCTCAAAAATGACGTTTTTTACAATTTTTAATTGCATGTTACACATTTACTTGACAACTTTTTGTAACTCACGAAGGCGTAAATGTTTACTTGAAAATTGTACTTCAATGTTATTCAACGGTTTTACTCTTTTAAATGCATGGATTTGATGTAACATGCCCCCAATTGTGTATGTTTTAATTGTTTGAAATCCTTCAATTTAGTAGTTCAGACGAAGGTGACCGTAAATAACATTTATCGTATTCAAATTCTTGCACAGATTTACTCATGTATTTCGATCTCCTGAACACGGATTTCGTGACTATACATCCGAGAAGTGAGTAGACTAATCGTTGTAAATAATTTTTAAAAAGACTATTGCAAGCCATAATAGTTTCTGCGAAAAAAAACTTAATTCAATTAATCATATTGTGATTTACATTTTAATTTTTATTAAATTACATAAGACAAATAAATCGCATAAGATGTGTTATTTCCGAATTGCATAAAATTCAACTACATAGCCGATAAAAAAAAATTGTTTTCCGAGTAACTTAACTACCGCCATGTTAGTATAGGTAAAAGTCTATCAGGACGGGGAAGGGGTTGTGGTCGAGATATGCTCTTTACTCGCGTGCAACCAGTGGCAATCGACAGAGTTTTTTTCATTCTTTCTTTCATTAAACTAATAATTGTTGTCTAATAGTTGTCTTAAGCTGCGTATTGTACATATATAAAGCACTGTGAGAAGAAAATCGGAAATCGCTTCATAATTGAGGACTGTAGGTCGTTTTAAACATTTTTTTCTTGATTAGCCCCACTGTGCGTCAGTGTGACAAGTTATTGTATGAGATTACAATCATTAGGTGTCCCTTAGCTTTCAGCAATCAAATTTTTATCAAAAGTTTTCAGTGCATTCCATTTACTGGTCAAAAATAGTAGTTTTCGTCTGATAAGTGCCATCGTCTCCGGGGCTATTTTGCGGCCCAAGGGATCTGCGAAGCAGGGCCTGACGGACGTAAGGTAGCCACGGAACGATGGTGCTTATGTGGCGAATGCGATTTTTCCTACCGAGGGCATACCAGTTTCTCAAAAACGCCCGAAGTAGGAAAAATAATTTTAATATGATATAATCAAATTTATCAATTTCGTGATTACACAATGGTTTTGTGACTTTTAAAAAGATCTGCTATTACACAGATAGTTTTTTTTAAATCAGTTATATTTTTTACAATTACTTGTATAATCTCTTAATATATCTTAAATATTTGCCATTTCAGTTTTTTCATCAAATCTGGATGAATTTGATGCAACTGACCACTGCTGTAATTGCTGGAAGCGAAATATTAGTAAAATGTCAGCTCAAATCAAATTTATGTTTAAAATGAGAAACACTACGAACAATTTGATGTTATTGTTACTAAATTAAAAAAAAAATACAAGCTAGGCTTTCAGATTCAGAAACTCACGTTTAATTGAAGAGCTTCTTACTAACAACCTTTCTATGGCATTACATTTTTGCCATGACTTTTACCAATTTTAAAACTTCGTAACTTACCATAGATATACTACCTGTTTGTGTCAGTGCCTCCTATTATAAGTAATTAAAATTTATTATTTCTTTAATGCATATCTAAGGTTACCACCACTTATTAACTAAATACATAAATAAATAAAAAACAATAAATTTATTCAATTAGTCATATGTAAGAATCATGTTAGCAGATTTACTGATCCAAGACTGAAGTTCTTATTTTTATGAGATTATCAGCTTAAAAATATTAATGTGTTATATTTTACATATTTATAAGTTTTCAGAAAATTTTCAAATAGTTTTTGAATAATGCAAATAGGTGTATTGTAATTCGTGGCTACAATGTTTTAACTGAAATTCCAAAATAATTTAATATTTAAGAGCATGAAAATGGCTTTATTTTTTATTCTGAACTATTCTGATGGGTTCTGTTTTTTTCTTCAATTATAAAAATAGTACGATTTCATTAAAAAAAAACTATGCTTTTAAAATGTGTCTAGTCTTAGTTATAAATTGTTTAAAATAATTTCTTCCTTATTCTTATTTTTGTCTGAAAATAAATTTAATGAAAGGTCTTGAACAATTTTTTGTATACTCACACTGATGCTGCCTTTTTTATTTTTGTTCTTCATACTGATAAGAATATTGATATTTAGTAATGTGCTGTAAATAGACTCTGATTATTGGACTCTAATTTTAAATTTAAGCAATAAATGATGTAAAAGAGTAGCTGCCTACCACAAATCTTATGATTTTTTATTTTCATTTGTGATTTTATTACCTATTATTTGTGATATTATTACAAATTTTCAATTTTAACACGAATTTATTTTATTACTTTTTTAAACGTAACTGTAGGAAGCATTTAGCGCTTATACCTATCAGTTAAAACCTATACTATTATGTACGGAAGCTAATATGACCATAAAAGCAAATAACCGTTATTGGCTCGGGGGCGAATTTGATCACAGACAGACAGTTAAACTTTGCACATTCATCAAAAATATTTTCCAATGATGCGTAACTCAATTAGTAGTTTTTTAGTTTACAAATTGTATTGACTGTTTTATTGTTACTTTTTCCGTCAGTTCTTAGTACCTTAATTTTTATCTTACTTAAAAAAATACTGTGTAACGTACTCAACCTACATAGCGTTATAACTATTACTGTTACTTAATATATTACTTTTTGTCTGAACCAAGGATGGGCAAATAAAATTGTGATTTCAATTATATTTTGTAGAAACAAAAAATGGTTGTAGTAACAATTCTTAAACCATTTATTATTGACCAGAGAATTTTGTTTGAATCATAACCACGTAATCTCAGCTTGAACCAATAATGTAACGAATAAAAAACTTTATTTGAAATTTTTTTTTTTTTTCAAAGAATGAAATAATAAATTTTTCATCACTAAAAATTTTAATTCTGTATAAAAATAATAAAATACGTGAAACTAACGGATTAAACTTTTTATAGGTCAAAAAAATTAACAGGAAAAAATATTTTTAGAAATTTTTGTGCTAATTCATAGACAACGATTGTTTTTGTGATTTTAGTTCATTGAAGAGAGAAAATTTTTCGCTGTAAGAGTATGAAAAAATATTGCTGTACACCTGAAACTTTGAAATTAACTTTATTTTATAGTCACAAATCTTCGCTGGAAGTACATCAAACCTCTAAAATTAATTAATAAGAATTAATTTGCCTCTTTGACACATGAGTGTAATTTGTTTTTATTGTTTCAATACACTTACTTGCTGGTTCGAAATTTCTGATTGTATTTTTTAATTTTTTTTTGAAAAAAGGGTCAAGAAAAGATAAAACTTTATTATTATTAATTTAATTAATTTTTATTAAATGAAATGTACAAATATCACTAAAGTTACTATTATATATACGTTTGACAAGGCTACTAAATCGTTTAATTGTCTTTACACAGGAATAAAATTCTTGTACAAATATTTATACTTATTTATATTTATTAAACAAATCCTCCATTGACTAGAGTATATTTATAAAAAGAGTTAATAGGTATACAGGAGCTGAATAAATTAACATTTTGTTAATAGACGAACTCGAAGACAGATAATGGAATGAAGGACCATCACCTAAAAAAAATGTACGCACTATATAATGATGGCTCGAATACGATGACAAACACTTCGCCTGATAGTGCAAATCATCCATTCGTGCATTATGATGAAAAAATTTGAAGCGTTGTAGAAGTATTAATTTCCATGTTTGTCAGTCACGTTTCTCAATATTTGGTTTAAGAAAAAGTAACGAAAAAATATCGGAAACTAAGTACACCTTAAGAATGAACAGGCAAACTGGATTACAGAGTAACGAGTTGGTTAAGTCACTGGAGGAGATGTGTCGGAAAATACTGATACTACAGCATCCTCAATCTTTAGGACGAATGAAAGCAGGTTCCGTAGTGCATTTTCCCCATATTCGTCTATTATCTTAATAGTTAAAGAATTCTATTAATTTAAAAAATAATGTATTAAATTCTAAAAAAGGATGGGAGGTAGACGAACTGCATTTATGAGAGGTAGTAGTCCGGCGAAGGCTCAGCTACCGACTCGGTTGTAAACAAGGGATTGGGAAATTCAGGTGGGTGTGGCAGTGGTCCGGCTGTCTTTGGCTGGCGTCGATATGCCATAAGCCAGCATGATACGGCAATAGCCACGGCGACTAGTGCTAGTAATGTCGTGATTATGAGTGATACAACGAAGCCAACCATGGAAACACAAACGTCATCTTCGGACAACCGTGGCGCAGGATCTAAAAAAGAAAAAATTTTTTTTTTAGATTTAGCACTTCTTATATTTGTATTTTTGTACTTTTATAACTAATTAACATACCGTTCGGTTGATAAAGTGAATATTTGTCGTCTCGTCGATCTATTGTTACGATCATGTTGGAAGTGACATTAATGTTTCCACGCTCGTCTCCTATAACGTTTTCAGGTAAGTTTCTTGAACTGTTATTGGCGCTCGATGTATCTCTACGTCTTCGACCGAAGGCATTATAACCTCTACAGTTAACCTTCAAAATACATATAGAGGTAAATATCATATACTGCATGTTTGTAATTTATTTTGATTTATTCGAATAGTTATAATTCACGAGACTTACCGGTTGACATCTACCAAAGCAGACGCGAATGTTACATTGGAAGCGAATATTATCACTGCTGGGGAATTTGAATGCATTAAAATTAGCCATGAGTGTTTGAGTTTCAGTATCTTGTTCCCATTCACCAAAGATCGTTGGATCTGTGGCACATCCGTTTTCATCAGTTACCACGTACTCATTTTCTACGCCGTCATCAGTTGTTTTGGCGACACAAGAACGTGCAAAACCGCCGTAAATTGCTGTAAATTATATTTTCAAATATAGTCGAGAATAAATAATGTCTACACTATAATGTAAGATTTACCAATGACTGATACTTTATTTTAAAGTAATTTTTATGTCAACTTACACGTTGGACTGACGTCTACTTCGAGTTTCAGACCATCTCCAATTTCGGCTTGGCTTATCTCATTTCCACTCTGACTAACAATCTTCATTCTACAAGTAGGTGGGGGTCCAGTGTTGGCAATTGTACCAGCAGTAGTCATCATTGACACGTTAAATCCAAGCGTAATATTTTGTTCTCCGATTTGGTACAAGCACTTAATGCTGTAAGCTTGGGCGTTGTACGTCATGAGTTTTTTGTGCCTCTGTATGACTAAAGTGAAACTGGCTACGCCCTATGAGTAGAATAAATTAATTTTTACGTTTTATTTATTCTGTATTTATTTAAGTCAATAAATAATGTGAAATTATTTTTAGATACATACATTTACGTGGGTCAATCCGCAAGTACCAAAAGTCACCTTGAATTCTTCAATAACTATTTTTTCCTTGGGGAAAATCAAGTCTCGTCTACATTGTTCATCGGAACTGTAATATTTCACGTAAATTATGCCATTGAAAGCTTCTCCTTGTCCAACTAATGTAACTAACACTCCGTCTGAGAGACATTTCACGCTCATGGATTTCTTGAAATCTTCAATCTTTTTAGCTATTGATTTTGTAATTGTAAATAAATAAATAAATTGTTTGTTAAAAAACGTAGATGTTATCACAGAGAAGCAATATATTTTTTCTGTGTTGCATATATTGTATGAGAAATACATTAGGCATGATAATTCAAAAGTGTATAAATGAGAAAGTGAAATAAAAGATGCTAAAAGTCTTTACTGCAAAGATCATACGTAAGTTGAAGGTTACTTTCAAACAAACCTCGACATATGCCGTTTTCATCAATCATAACTCCAGCTTCCGGGTAACATGGTATGCAAATTTCTTTGTCATTTTTTGCATGGTTCGGTGGACAGACACATTCACCGTATTGATTTCGGATCTGGCCTTTTTCGAGTTGACAAACTGAAAACATAATCGTATCATATTATGTTACGAATGCAAAGGTGAATATTTCTGCATTATTAGGTTTTATAATTTAAAAAATTACTTGGTTCACATTGTTCAACAGCATTACCACGGTAATCTGGTAGGCAATCACAAGTCATGGTTTTTACTGGATGTGTATCCAAAACCGTACATATGGCATTAATGCCACAAGGTCTTATTTCATTGCATGGATTTACGCACTTCCTGTTGACGCAGGCTTGTTGTAATGGGCATTCATCATCGCTTTTGCAACCCACTGAGTGAGAGTAACGTAATCAAGACAAATTCTTAATTCTTATATAATTCTTGTATTTAAATATAGAAAGTGAGCAAATATTTTTGTTTTACCCGGTATACAGCTAGAAATTTTGGTGTCTATATATCCTGATGGACAAGCACACTCGACAACATGGTTATAGACGCTGCACTCAGCATTCCTTTCACAAGGATTTTCAGTCAAACACGGGTTTTTGCATTTTTCATTGATACAAGCTTCAGTAGACGGGCAGTCACTATTCTTCCGACAGCCGATTATTGGGACACACGCTACAGTTGGATTGTCTGTATATCCTGGTGGGCATTCGCAAACGGCTCGATGATTAAAACCGTTACATTCAGCATCCTTGCCACAGGTTTTCAGAGACGGTGAGCATACAAGCACGCAGTTATGCTGCAAACAAGCATGAGTGCCAGGACACTCGTGATTCGATCGACATCTACCCACTGTGAAAACATTGTCAGTAAAATTATTGAATCATGAAGACGACTTATTACGAGGTGTAAATATAGTTCTAAAATTATGATGATTGGAGATGAGCACGTTATTTACCTGGTATACATTCGACATCAGGATTTCCATCAAAACCAGTTATACAAGAGCAAATTGGTTTATGGTCAATGATGTTGCAAATAGCATTAGTACCACAAGCGCAAGGATCTTTGCAAATGGCATTCACGCATGAACGTTCGGATGGACAATCACTGTCACTCTTACATTCAACTCTGAAGATCGATGAAATAATCTCACACGTGCCACTCCCACTACTAATGTAACCTGATGGACAAACACAGACCATCGTCCTCACGGGAAGGCTTGGTAGAACCTTGCATTTTGATGGCTCGTAACATGGTTCAATAACTTCGCAAGGATTTTGACAGTGGTTATTTAGACATGCCATTTGGTCTGAGCAATCACAATCTTCATGGCACTCTGGCTGTTCTTCAGGCTGGCAGGCTATGTAGGGATTACCCCTGTAATTAAAAGAAGTGACATAACCCGGCCAAAAAATCACGTTATTTATTACGTGACGTTATCGAATTTTAACAAATCACGTTATAAATCACGCAAATAATCACGTGATGTGCAAAAATCACGCTATTTATCACGTAATAATTAACGTGACGTTATCGATTTTTAGCCGGGAAGTAGTTTCAAAGTTATTTTTTAATACTGACATGAGTATAAGCTAGACAAGTGTTTAAGAAAAACAAAAATAAATCTCAATGTATTATTGATTGCCTTGAAGCATATACATATTTATGGATTAATTAATAACATACATGTATCCTGGTGGACATCTACAGACGGGTAGATGATTTCTAACGTGGCATTCAGCCCTGTGAGCGCAATTATTATCTCTCAAACAAGGATCAACACAAAGCATGTTAACACAAGCGTGTTTACTTGGACAGTCGCTATTGCTGTAACATCCAATAATTCGACAACTGAGTTGTACATCACCATAATAGCCAGAGCGACAGCGGCATTCAGTGATATGGTTCACCACGTAACATTCAGAATGAGGACCACACACATCTGATAATAGACACGGGCTGATACATTGTCCATTCACGCAGGATTTATCTGAGGCACATTCTGAGTCACGCTTGCACTCGGCACTTTGACAAGCTACATCAGGATTGCCCTCATAGCCTGGTTGACATGAGCAGGTAGCTCGATGATTTTTGACTTGACAAACAGCATTTTGTCCGCAACTGCATGGCTTACGACATTGACGATTAATACATGACTCATGATCGACACAGTCATCATCTGAGGTACAGGCTTCGCGACTCTGCAGTTGGACTAAAATAAATTTTAACATGATTTGTTAACTACATCTTTAGTATTTGACTGTAAATTTCATTCAAATTCAAAATTTTCTTGATAAAAATAATTTAACGTACTTGGTTTACATACTCCATCAGAGTTGGTGATCCAACCAGTAGGGCAGGTACAAACCATGGTTCTTACAGGCACAGTATCAAGAACTGTACAACGTCCACTTTCTGTGCATGGCCTAATTATTGGACAAGGATCAACGCATACTTCATTCATACAAGCCAGTTTAGTTGTGCAGTCAGAGTCCCTTTTGCATTCTGGCTGAGGTACTTCTTCGACCAATGGACGTTCACAGTATGAATAAGGGTTGCCCATGAAAAGATTTTCCGGACAACGACAGGCTGCTGCATGATTGGTCACATAACATATTGCGTTCTGGGCACAAGGTGACTGAATAGCACATGGGTTGATGCAACGATTATTTTGACATGATAAGCTAGATGGGCAATCATAGTCAGTAGTGCACTCAGTACGCTCGCATTGAAGTTCTGGATTGCCGACGTAGCCGACCCGACACTTGCAGTTAGCTCGATGGTTCTGACCATAGCATTCAGCATTTATAGTGCAGTGATTTTCCAAAATACATGGATTGATGCACTGGTTGTTGAAACATGTATCTATGTATGGACAGTCCGTGTCTGACTCGCATTCAACTGTTATTTAAATAAAAAATGTTTACTTATTTTATGGTATGAGAATAATCAGATAAAAATAACATATACGAATGAAATAATACATCATTAACAACTCTGTGAACTGTAAAAAGTTCAAAATGATGTTTTAGTGAGCTTACGTTGTATACATCCGATTTGCGGATTACCAGAGTATCCTGGTAAGCAAACGCATGATGGGTAGTGATCAGTGACTGTACATTTGGCATTTGGCCCACAATTACACGGATTAATACATAAATCATTGAAACAAGATTCAGTTCCCGTACAGTCCTTGTTTGATCGACATTCAGCAACAATGGCAGCTAGAGAGAGAAAGTCATAATTTAAACATGTCTTTTCTTGTGTGCGTTACTCAACTATTATTGAAATTTTATTAGTCAACTTACGTGGTATACATTTAAACTTGGCATCCCCCATATAGTTGTCAGGGCATTTACAAACTGGGAAGTGCTTATTAACATGACACAAAGCGTTTAATCCACAGACATTACTCACCACACATGGGTTCGTGCACAACGAATTTGTACACTGTCTGTCATCGCTACATTCGTCATTAGAATAACATTCTGGTTGCACTGGTTGCACTGACGTGATTGGAACTGTGATCAATGATAATAGATTTTATACTTTCATGATAAGAATTACATATTTTATAACTTTGAAATCGATGCTAATCATTGAATGCAGGCAGGTATAATGTACACCTTTTATCACAGCTGTGAAAAAAAAAAAAAAAAAAAAAAAAAATACCTGATGAACACTCAATATGTGGATTTCCAGTGTAGTCTTTAGGGCAGAAACATTGTCCGACATGATTTAAGGGTTGACAGAGTGCATTATAGCCACACTGAGTAATATGACAGGCACCAATACATGTACCTTTGAAGCATTTGTCATTATGGTGGCATTTGTCGTCTGACGTGCATTGTGGGGTATATTCTGTAATTAAAAAACTTTGTTAAATTACTTTTATTGGGGAACATGAGGTAATATCTATTTTCGATAAACAGAATAAGCGTACCGATCTGTTTGCATTTGCCGCTAATATCGATGACTGTGTCTGGGGGACATTGGCAGATCATTGTGCGTACTGGCACTGTACCAAGAACTCGACACTCTTGTTCTTCACTACATATGTTAGATAGAGCACACGGATCCTGGCAAATGGCGTTGATGCAGGCTTGGTTTGATTGACATTGGCCATCAGTAGAACATTGCGGTTTTGGTAGGTCACTCTTACCATCTAAAAAATATTTTTTCGATAACAATTGAACACGAAATATAAAAAACCAAATTAGTTGGTAACCAGTAAATTTTATTAAAAAAACACCCGTTGTCAAATGTGTAGTTCATTCCAGTTATAACAAGAAAAGCTGTGTGGATTACTTATTGATGAAATAATTTAGTTATAAAACATAAAATAACAATTTTATCTGATAAAAAAATAACATACATTAATTTTATATTCGTTTTACGTACAACTTTCTTTTTTAAATTTCAACTATTAATCAATCATCTCAAATCATAATATTATCTTCATGCATTGGCATAAAACATGTCATTTGTTTTACGATAGGGAACAAGTTATCGAACGAGCTTACTTTATAACCAAGTATCTATGAAACATACCCTTTTTAATAATAGCAACTACTTGACCTGATAATTTTTGGGTTAAAATTTTATTAAAAACTTTTGTTGCACAAAAATTAATCGAGAAAAGTAATTAATAACTAACGAAATTTGTTGTACTATCTACATAATATGTCAAAAATCCATAGTGTTTAATTTTTCTTGGTCTGTTTTTACTACAGAATTCTTTTATTTCACCTTTCAACAATGGTGTAACTACCGAAACAACTGTCAAGCTATTATTATTGATAAAGTAACTGTGAAACTGCAAAAAGTTGTAATTATTATTGATAAGTTAATTACACATTGAATCTAAGGGTATGAGTACGGTATGAGGGAAAACAAGGATTTAAAAAAATAAACTTATCATTTGAATCACCCTGAATAATATAAGGTCAACTGCAGATAATCATTGTATCAAATATATGAGAATCATACATAATTGTATTGAATAAAAATGTTGATGGATAGTATTGAAGTATTTGATGGTTTTTTTATGAACGTTTCAGTAAGAATTAGTTATAATAATTTTGTATTTATTTATTATATTAATTATAATTATTATGTATTTATAGTTATTTATAATTAATTTAGTCTAATTTGACGAATTTCACGAAACCCAACTGACATCAGATTTTTATTTCACATCCTTGTAAAGTTTTATTTCAAATCATGTAACTCATTGTCTCTTTTAAAGATTTGATAAAACTAACGGAAATATTTACTTTTAACGCACTCAACTTGTCTGACTTCAAGTTTTTGCTGCATGATGATTTAAAGAGGATCGGTTTGTAATGAAAAAGGTATAATAGTTATTTTATTTGACTATTAAATTCAATTTTTAGTTTAAGGAATTATGAATCGTCGATAAAATATATTTTTTTATTATAGTAACAATTAATGAGGGGCTGAATTTTAATTTTGTATTATAACAATTGAATCGTCAATTTAATTCAACCCCAAGAAAACAATTTTTAACAAAATTAGAAATAAAACATGTTTCTTATACTTACAATTACTAATACATATACTTTTTATCAACAAAGTTAATGGTTATTTAATTAAAAAAAGAAGTTACATCGAAAACGTATCTATAAAATTGTCGGCGAATAAATTCATGAAATTAACAGAACACTGGCATGTTTTATTCGTTACAATTTGATCATAGAAAACTTAAAAATAAGTTACTATTATAATTGATTACAAATACTTAACTATATTTTTTCATTTGAGTAACTGATACAGATTAAATAATTTAAAAAAACCTTATCTATAAAATGTTTGGCTAGTAAAGTAATAAAATCAATAAAAAACTGACATTCTATTCGTTACAATTTTATCGTTCACAACTACTTATACAATTAACCATTTTATTACAAATACTAATCTATATTTTTTTTCATAAAGTAATAAATATGTAGATTCATAAAGTCGAAGTAGACGGTAAAAATTTTGCAAATGTTCTATTTGTCAACACAATTTAAAAAATGCGCATATTTCAGAGATCTAAATAAAGAAACAATCAATGCCGAAAGATACATTTTCATTCAAAATAACAATCAGTAATTTGTCCAGTAACATCAATATAGATATTATAGAAGTATATCTGTGTTGGTGGGGGATGTGAGAGACAGGTCCGACTTTTTGTCTCTTTCAAAGTATCTTCTGTTTATTCTTTGGAATATATATTAATTACTATAGCATTATCATATGTTTAAGGTCTATATGAATTTTCGAATAAGTTTTGACACTACAGCTACAGAACTTGATGATTTTAAATTTAATTTTGTTTATCGACATCAACCTTCATTATTTTTAATAATACCAATACACATATAGACTGGAAGTCACTGATTGTGATTTAGGAAAAAATTATTTATTTTTGACTGCTTAACAGAGTAACTTATGAGAGAACGTGGTTACATTACCTTTTAATTGTAATTAGGGTATGTTATAAATGTGCTCAAAAAAAAAAAAAAAATGTTTTTTTTAGATACCTTAGTACTAATGTAAGATGCTTGACAAAAAAATTAAACCGTGTCAGACATTTTTCAAAAATATAATCAATTACATTCGTCCAGTTTCAAGCTTGTTGAGTGCAAGAGGAGGTGCACGGAAAAGGGGGTACATCTGCACAGGCCGGGGGAACTCCCCGTTTCTCGATTCTCTAAATGATACTCCCAAACCTCCTTAATTTGTGTTGATAAAAAAAAACATTTGCAATATTTGTATCTTTTACTAGAACTTTATAATTATAAATCTACAAATATGTTACTTCATTTAAAAAAAAAAAAAATATAGACGAGTATTTGTAATGAAATGGTTAATTGTATAATTAGTTATGTACGATTAAATTGTTACAAATAGCTTATGTCAGTTTTTTTGTTGATTTAATTGCTTTGCTCGCCAAAAATGTTATAGATAAGATTTTTGTTTTATTTTTTTACTTACTTTTTATGAATTAACGTATTTGTTACTCAAATAAAAAAATGTAGTTGAGTATTTGTAATCAAATATAATAGTTACTTGTTCTTAAGTTTTCCATGATAAAATTGTATCGAATAAAAAATACCAGTTTGCTGTTGATTTCATAGATACGTTTTTGGTGTAATTTTTGTTCAATTAAACAACTGTTACCTTTGTCAATAATAATTATAGATACTAGTAGTTATAAGCACAAGAAACATGTTTTAAGGGAGTTGGGTCGCTCCCGCGGGGAGGTGAAGAGGAGCACGTGTATGTTCATGAGGCACTGTGCTAAAGCCTGCTGTACTAATTTAGCCTAAAAATATCCGCCCTTTCGATTACGGAAAATGCATTTGTGTTCCACTCGCCAGTACTAGTTAACGTTTAAATAAAATACTTAAAAAAAAAATACAGAATATTCTTCAAGGTATCTCGTTTCTTAGGGTATTAATCAAATAGCCTAAATACTTTCTCTATGAGAGATAAAAAATAAGGAATCAACGGTATAGTAAATCTGATCTTCTTTTAATAAAAGTATGCTATAAATTCTCAAAATTAGAGGTTTTAATGGTATATCATTAAAGTATAAAGTCTCATTAAGGCCTATACCAAGTTTGAGATCATAATTTTTAGTAGAACAGCTTCTAGAAGTGATTTTGTGAAAAGCTATCGCGCCACGTAAAAAGTCGAGCTGACAGCAAACAGTGTGCTCAGTGCGTCTTTGTCTGCCACACGAATGAAGCATACAAGCAGGAAACAAATTTGCTTACGTTTGTGCAAATATCTCCATAACTGCAGACGCGATTTTATTTGATTTATTTTATTGAAACTTTGCACGTATACAAATGAAGTTGTCATAAATAACATATCAGTTTTTCAAAACATTCTCATCGCTGTGTCAAGAGTAATAGGTATTTTTTTACAACTTTTTTGATAACTTACATTTGAGCCCATGTTAAAGACGACGTAAAAGGGACACTTCATGAATTTTTTTCTCGAAATCTGTAGACGCGATTGTGCTCAAATTTGGTGACTACACCCACGCAATGTTTCTTTACAATATTTATTAAGAAAAAAATATTTTTCCGCCCTCGGGTGGTTTTGGGAGGCTGGTACTTCCTCGGGCGAAAAAGCAGTTTTCTGGAACTCGTTCGAAAAGTCTCCTTTACAAACCTCGTTACGTCCCTCGCCTTCGGCTCGGGCCGCAAACCTCTCGGTTCGCAAACAGAGACTTTTCAAACTCGTAGGAAAACTACTATNTAAATAGCTTGTAAATTGGTTCACTGCATTTTTGTATAGGATGTCATTTTTTATCACTAACTAACATTTATTAAAAGAAATCTGATACAAGCACTCAGTAATTCTAAATAATTAAATCTAATTTGTGAAAATTATGGTTTCTACTATGTCAAATTCATTTGATGATAGAACCATAATTTGTTTTAGAAATATTTTTGTGCTGACTTTGTCATCGAACTTTTACTACTTAATTACGCCCGCACCCTCAGTAATCATTCCAAAACCAGAATCAAATTGATGAAAAGAAAATAACCAATGGCCTGAACATAAAGATAATTCAACGTTACAAGAAATCCGTTATTAAAAAAAGCTAAAAATATTTATACTTAATTCTTGCAACAAATTTAAACAAAATTCTAATTACTTTTTAAATAATGAGAATTTTTATAGACGATTGCTTACAGTGAATACTTCTATAGCAAAAATAGAATTTTTTGCGTAAGACGCAATATTTATACAGTGATAATGAATACGTTTCCATTACAAGTGATAATTGCGAGACATGAGTCGAAAGTAAGATCACATATCTAGAAGAGTTCGCACCAATTCTAGAAATGTGGAAATGGTTTGCGTTGCTTAACCGTATTGTATAACAAATTCACTGATTTTGGGCAACAAAAAATTATGATTTGTACCTTATAATTGTGTCCCTTTTTTTAATGCCAATAGATATCATTCTTCGTATTTTTATACATTTTTTTGTGCAAGCACATATTACTCCATGTTAAATACTGAGTTTGTAATATTAAAGGTGACTCTTCATGCGCAAAATTTAAGTTATAATGCAAAATAAAAATTAGCGCGTGGAATAAAAGATAGCATTAAACAAAATTCCTCAGGTCCTTACTT